TGCTTGTAGAGAAGGACTTCTGGGATTTTCACTCAGCAATACCAAAAGGAGCAGTGATACATTTCCAAAGTCAAGATGGTGAGAGGCTTGGAGGATAACTTGTAGGTGGTAGTATTTCCATGTATCCGCTGCCCTTGTCCTTCTAGATCGCAGGATTGGAAAGTGTCCTTAGGGAGTTGTTACCGTGCATCTTGTAAACGGTACAGGTGGTACTCATGTGATTTTGCAAATAACAATTTTTACTTTACTATCCATGATCCACTACATGCATCTGATTTGCAATTACATAGTTCTTGCCAGTGTTTCAAAATGGGTTCCTGTTTGATCAGATTGTTTTGATCATTGCCTATCCTAGTCAATGCTTTTAAGATTTTTAAAAACTGCCCACAGCATTCTACCTCCAGGTGAGCCAAAATGCTTATTAGCCAAGAAAAAATTATTTTCATTAGTGCATTTTCATGTAATATTGATGTTTTATATTAACTTTACACTTGCATTCTGTACCTGATTAATGTTCTGGGAGAGTAACCCAAACATTTCACATTTATGTTTCACTTAACACAGTGTCAGGGACATACCAATGCATTAACCAAGGACTATTTGCACTAATATCTGCCACTGGGCAAGGTGAAAGAAGTAAGAGTTGAAGGTGGTTAATGTGGTGCCAATCAAGCAGGCTGCTTTGTCCTGGATAGTTTCAAGTTTGAGTGCTGTTGGGGCTGCACCCATCCAGGCCAGTGGGGAGTATTCCATCACACTCCTGATTTGTGACTTGCAGCTGGTAGACAGGCTTTAGGGAGTCAGGGAAGGAGTTACATGCTGCAGGATTTCTAGGCTGTGACCTAGTCTTAAAACCACAGGATTTGTATGGTTAGTCCAGTTCAAATTTCTGGTCAATGATAACCCCCATGGATGTTAATGGTGGGGATTCAACAATGGTAACACCATTGGCAATGGTTAGATTCTATGTTCATAAGATGGGCATTGCCTAGCATTTATGTTGCATGAATCTCACTTGCCACCTGTCAGCCCAAGCCCAGGCATTATCCAGGTCTTGTTGCACTTAGACTGCTTCAGACTCGGAGGAATCATGAACAGCCCTGTATACTGTACAAACAGCAAACATCTCCACTTCTGACTTCACACTGGAAGGAATGTCATTGATAAAGCAGTTGAAGAGGGTTGGACCTACGACAATTTGGAGGAACACCTGCAGAGATGCCACAGGGTTCAAATGATTGGCCTCCAACAATAACCACCACCTTCCCTTACACCAGATGACTCCAACCAGCAGAGACAGCTGTCCCCCCGCTTCCTCTTTCCCTCACTCCAATTCCCACTGATTCCAGTTTTGTTAGGATTCCTTGATTCCATACTCCCTCAAATGCTGTCTTGATGTCAAAGAAGTTCACACTCCGCTCTGGAGTTCTGCACTTTTATCCATGTTTGGACCAAGACTTTAATGAAGTCAGGAACAGAGTGACACTGGCGGAACCCAAACAGTGCCAGTAAGCAGGCTGTTCCTTTCCAAGCACAGATTGATCATACTATCGACATTCCTTTCATTGCTTTGCAGATAATAAAGTGTAATCTATAGGATGGTAATTGGGCAGGTCGGGTTGTTTAGTTTGATGTTTACAGGTCATACCTGGGCAGGTTTCCACATTGCCAGGTAGATGCTAATGTTTCAGATTCATATTTGTAGCACAAAAGGAGGCCATTCACTGAAGGTAGCAGGATAGGTAGATGAGGTGGTTAAGGAATATGATTACTTGCCTTTATTGGTCAAGGCATAGAATACAAGAGCAAGGAGGTTATGCTGCCTGCAGTACCAGTTACCACATCATGAGGATGCCAAGGAGATCTGCCAAGATGCTGCCTGGTCTGGAGGCTCTGGACTATGAGGAAAGATCAGATTGGCTGGAGTTACAGAGCAGGCTGAAAGGTAATTTGATAGAGGTGTGTAAGACTGAGGAGCACAGATGGATTGGATGGTTGGATGGATGGAGTGGAGGTTAGATAGACCTTAGGTTTAGGGTAAAAGTTCGGCACAACATCATGGGCCGAAGGGCCTGTACTGTGCTGTACTGTTCTATGTTCTATGGATAGAGAGGCACTTTTTCCATTTGTAGAGGGGTCAATAACCAGGAGGTAGAGAGAGAGAGAGAAGGCTAAGGAGGAGAGTTGAGGTCCTCCCTGCCCCCAGAAGGTGGTGGGAGTGTAGAACTCACTGCTTGAAAAAAGATGGTTGTCAGGAACTCTTTCTATTTACACAGTATTTTAAATACTCTTGTGTTGCCATAGCCTCCTGGGTTATGGAAAATAGGATTAGGATAGTCAGAACTTTGTTGACGCGTGGGGACATGATGGATCCTCCTTTTTGCCTTCAGTGCTTCAGTGAAAATAGTCCCAGTCTCAAGTCATAGTATTTCATTCTTTGAGGGATGTTCTCATGATTTCTTAAGGGCTAAACTTTATGATTTGTGGGGCGTCATTTTCAGCCCAGACGGTCCTGTTTGTGGATTTTGGTGAGGAGGTAGAAGTGAGCTGTGCAGGGTTGGGAGTCTATTGGCTTGGAAGCAGTTTTTTTGGGGGAGGGGTGTGGGAATCACCCACAGCCCCACAGTAGCTTCCCTTGCAACCGCACAAGGTGTAATGCCTGACCCTTTACTTCTTCCCTCTTCAGTATCCAAGGCCCCAAACATAGCTTCCAGGTGAAGCAGCACTTTACCTGCACTTCCCACAATCTATGTCTGTTTCATTCACTACTCACAATGTGGTCTCCTCTACATTGGGGAAACAAAGCATAGACTAGGCGACCACTTCACAAAATACCTACGTTCTGTCTGCATACTAGACCCCAAGCTTCCAGTTGCCTAACACTTCAACACACTACTTTGTTCCCTGGCCAGCTGCAGTGCCCAGAGAAGCTCAGCACAAGCTGGAAGAACTGCAGCCCATTTTCCACTTGGGAACTCTACAGGCTTCTGGATTCAATATCAGGTTCAACAATTTTCAGGCTTGTGCATTCCCACATCCTTACCCAACCACCACACACCAGGCCTTATCACGTGGTCTGTTATCACACACAACCCATTGTTAGCCACTAACAGCCCCCATTAATGGCTATTCATCCTCCTAACCTGATCATTATCCATTCCTTTGTCTGTCCAACTGTTCTTTTCTCACTCTGGGCTCTATCCCTACCAGTCGTTTACTCCCTAGCTCCTCCCCCCACCCCCTCTCCCGCATAAAACCCAACATCTTCCTAGCTGCCATCAGTTCTGAGGAAGGGTCACTGCACCCAAAACATTAACTTTGCTTTGTCTCCACTGATGCTGCCAGACCTGCTGAGCTTTTTCAGCAATTTCTGCTTTTGTTTCCGATTTCCAACATTCACAGTTCTTCTGGTTTTATTTTGGAAAATTCAGCATTTTGACGATAATCATCAACTCTACATGAAACCCGAAAGCTAACATAAGGAAACCTACATTTCCTAGAATGCAGTTTCTTTTTGAAAACTGTAGGAATTAGCACAAAAACATTTTTGCAAAAAATAAAACAAATGCATACTTCATAAAAAGGACATTAATTTGGAAGCATTTGTTACCACTGTGGCATTAAAAGAGGTTCCTGGATCCTGGGCATATTTGACAAGTTTAAAATCGTTCACTCCTTTTGATAGCCTCCCTCCCTCTCCCACTTTGTAGCCACTGTTCTCCCACCTACCAGTCAACCCTTCTCCCCTGGTTAACTGTCTGCTCCATGCCCCAACACAAACTCTTCCCTTCTGTCCCCCACCCCCCAGTCCATCAGCAGCAACCACAGAAGAGAAGCAGCTCCTTTACAAGATTTTAGTTCCACATGTAGGGGAGACTCTGATTTGTCACCCCCATGATTCATTTTTCAGGATGAATTTGCACATCATATCCATGTATTTTGAATCCTGCCCCAGTATTCTCTCTGTTGCAATTCTGGAATCCTTCCTGTACCCAGCAGTCTATGAAATATGAAACTAGATAAAGGCAAGAGAAGCTGTGAAACATGGAGTAACATATAGAATCCCCAAAAGGGTTTACGCAATGATGCAGTTGAATACCAATTCTCTTGAATGATCTGATCAAAGGGTGGAAAGGTGATTTAAAGCAAGTTGTAAATCCCAAGTTTATCAAAGGCTGCTTTGTTTTATCAAAAGGAGTTGTTTGTAATTGCTAGTCACCATCGACTGCCTTTTGGTGTTTATTCAATTACTCAGCCTCGTCATCGCTTGCCTCCCAAGTGAAGGTTTATCATCATGTTCCTGAGGCATGGAATCATCACGATCACCTCTCTGGTGTTTTGGGCAAAATGGCGACACAGCAAAGGTCAACGAACCATCCAAACTGCAGGATGCTCACATGGTCCTGGCTCCACCACATTCTGAAGTTTCCCCACTTGCTGTGCCCTGGGTGAAGCACAGAAGCCCAGTTTATTCTAGACTGGATGAGACCGCTGTGGACATGGAGAGGCCTGGAACATGCACTGTTCCCTGCGCAGGAAGCTCTGATCGGTGAAAGATGGCCACCGTTTCAACAACTTGTACCTATTCAAAGGCAATGAAACATCCCAGGACATTCCACAAGACCATTATAAAATGAAACGATACAAAATAAAACTACTGATCTTAGAGTTTTGATGTTTTCAGTTCCGTCCCCTCTGGCTTTAATAGCTTTGTGGAGGAAGACAGCCACAAATTTTCATAACCTTCTCCAAGAACAAAATGAAAAAATAAGCATTTCACCTCTGAAAATCCTAGTTTTCATTTTAAAAAGGTCAGACCCCCTGTTCCAGATTTCCATACCTCTATGAATGCAACACATCAACTTCTTTCAAAAAAAGTGATTTCCTACTTGACCCTGCAGTCAAATAGCTTACCAACACCGCACCTTTATAAAATGTAATAGAAAAGGAAAAGGAAATTAAAAGGAGGTTTGGTCTTAAAGTTTCAAGGTTAGACTCACAGATTTGGGTCCTGGCCGACTTCAGGAATTTTTGCGAGTCGTACCACACCGTTCGACAGTCCTCGAGCAGCTTGTAAAACCGGGGTTTCATCCAGGAGCTGGATTTGATCTTCTGTAGGTTGCTACCTTTCAGCATGGCTTTCAGGTCATCATCGTTGATGAAGCCTTGTGACGGAAAAGAAGAAGGAAAAAAAAGTCAAAAAGACAAACGAGAAAGGGCAGTGGAAGTGGAGAAAAGCAGGAAAAGGGAAAGACAGCGTAGAGACAGGAGTAAAGGCAGTTGGGGGTGGGGATGGACTAACGCGGAAAGGGAGACGGCAGCACAACAGCAGGGGAGTTTGAAAGGGTGTGGAGAAAGAGAAGGTGAAATAATTTCAGAGCATCACAGCTTTATCAAACCAAAGCCGCTTTAACCCTGGAATAAGAATAGAGGGGAGGGGACAGGGGTATATCTTTCACTTGGTCAGTCGCTAGGGAGAAAAAGTGAACTGAACTTGGATCAGGCAAATGCAGTGGTCAGCTTGCAGTCACCAAGATGTAAAAATAAAAAAAAACCCACCAGCAGCACCAGCAGCTGAGACATTCATATCTGGAGAGTAGTCATGATGTGGCCTTTTCCCTTGTCTAATCTGTTATTGGAAATTCACTGCATTATTGCACAGCCTCAGGTCAAGCCAATTCCCTAGGGATGACACACCAACAATGGGAACACTAGTACTCCTTGAAGCTGGAACCAGAATTAGGAGGGGAAGGCTATTCAGCCCCTCAAGCCTGACTGCCTTTCAATAATATTATGGTTGATCTGCTTCCTGCTTTATCTCATCTCCAGATTCCGGTCTAACCACCTGCAATAGCCATTCATTCTCTTGCCAATCAAGAATCTAACTCCACTGGTCTTTCGGTAAGAGGACTCCAAAAGCTAACAAAGTTCAGAGAATTTTTTTTTCATAGGATATGGACATAGCTGGCTAAACCAGTATTTATTGCCCATCCCAAGTTACCTGGAGGGCAATTAAAAGTCAATCATCACTGTGGATCAGGAGTTACATCTAGGCCAGACTGGATAAGGATGGCAGATTTCTTTCCCTAAAGGGCATTACGTTTTTACAATAATTGAAAGTGGTTGCCATTAGACTAGCTTTTTATTCCAGATTTTAAAGGAATTCAAATTTCACCATCCAACATCGGAACCCATCCTCAGAACATCAGTCTGGATTTGTAGTCCAATGACATTGCCGCTACATAACCACTTCCCCTATAAATCCTCATCTGCTTTAAACGGGAGACCCCTTACTTTTAAACTGTTACCCTACGTCTAATCTCTCTCAAGCAGAAACATTCTCTGCGCGTCTACCCCATCGAGTCCCCTCGATCTTATGTTTCAAATAAGATAACCTCCCATTTTTCTAAGCTCATAAACATATGAAATCTTTCCACCTCAGGTGTCAGTCAAATGCAACTTCAGCTTCAAAAACAACTGTATTCTTTCTTAAAGGAGACCAAACCATACAAAGGATCCCAGATGCAGCCTCACAAAGCCTTGTATATTTGTAGTAATATTTCACTTGCTATGTCTGCATACTAATAGTTCAGGACACTGGACTGCGACTTGTTTCTTGGTAAATGCCATACAGAGTTCATCTTCGTGGTTGAAAAAGTAGGTAAGCTAACAACCACACCATTCACCCTTCTGAGAGGGGTAGGATATCAGTTAGGTTAAAGGCCATCCATTGGTTCTTTTTCTCCAAAAAAGAAATCATTTGCAGTGCGAGTGTGTCACTGACTAGAATGGCCTGGTATGGCAACTGCTCTATCCAGGACCGTGAGAAGCTACAGAAGGTGGTGTGCATAGCCCAGACCATCATGAAAGCCAACCTTCCATCCATGGACTCCATTTACATGGCTCATTGCTGTGGAAAGGCTGCCAACATTAAATATCCATCGCACCCCAGTAATGCTCTCCTACAACCACTTCTGTTAGGCAGAAGGTACGCACAGCAGGTTCAGGAACAGCTTCTTCCCGACCGTTACTAGACTGATGAATGGACTCTAACTTCAAATAATGCTGATCTTGCCTAGCACATGCCCTGTGCAACATAATCTGTCTGCCTCTAAGACTTATTTTCAACCCTATGATCTGTATGTCCTTGCTTACTTTGATCTGCCTGTACTGCTCGTAAACAAAGCTTTTCACTGCACATGACAATAAATAAATCAAATCATCTCAAAATTACCCTGGGGAAGGTGGTAGTGAATTGCCTTCTTGAACTGCTGCAGACTTTGGGTTGTAGGGACACCTGCAAAACGGTGAGGGAGTCCCAGGATTTTAACCCGGTGACAATGAAGGAATGTTGGCATATTTCCACATTTGGATGGTACACGTGCTGGAGGGGAATATGCAAGTGGTGATGTTTCCATGTATCTGCACTTGGCTTTCTAGATGGTAGAAAGTCACTGGCTTGTGACATTGGGACATTAAAAAGGGACTGTGCTGAGTTGCTGCAGTTTATCTTATAGACAGTGCTCATTACAGCCCCAGTCCACCTTGAAAAGAGAAAAAGTATGAATTTGTCATTATATGGTTGGGATGCCAACCAAGTGGGCTGCTTTGCTCAGGATGGTTTTCAACTTAGAATGCTAACACTCATCCAGTCAAGCAGAAATCAGGGAAGAGAGAAAAATGTGAGTACAGTATTATCAGACAAAGTACTGGAGCAGAGGCAAAATTCTTTGGGAATCAATTCATTGCTTGGGGGCTTTTACACAAAGGGTGATCATGATCTAAAACTTTAGCATTTAAGATTTTTGATTGATGATATTCTGGAAAATGGAAGACAATATACAGAAGGAAAACTCAATAGCTCAAAGAATATTTCCTGTTCCCATTTAATCTGTGAGTAAATAGACATAGCAATCTGACACTGTATAGTTAAGCCTAATTTACAGCATCAAAACCAAGTCAAAAAAGCACAGGCCTTTGGGCCCTGTTCATTTCTGGAGTATTTCAAGAAGTGAGCTCACCACAACCTTCTTGACACTAAGCTGTGTGGCAGTGTGTGCTATGAGGAGGACGCTAAGAGCCTACAGGGTGACGTGGACAGACTGGCTGAATGGGCAAATACAATATAGTGTGGATAAATGGGAGGCTGTTCACTTTGGTCGCAAAAACAGGAAGGTGCAGATTTATTATCTGAATGGTGGCAGTTTAGGAAAAGGTCAGGTGCAACGAGACCTGGCTGTCATGGTGGAACAGTCGCTGAAGGTTGGCATGCAGATGCTGCAGGCAGCGAGAAAAGCGAATAGCATGCTGGCCTCCGTACTGACAGGATTTGAGTATAGGGAGTAGGGATGTCTTGCTGCAGTTATACAGGGCCTTGGTAAGGCCAAACCTGGAGTATTGCATGTAGTTTTGGTCTTCTAGTCTGAGGAAGGACATTCTTGCTATTGAGGGAGTCTGGTGAAAGCTCTGGCAGGACTGGCATGAGGAAAGATTGGATCGACTGGGCTTGTATTCACTAGAATTTAGAAGAACGAGAGGGAACCTTAGAAATATAAAATCCTGATGGCTAGATGCAGGAGGAATGTCCCCAGTGTTGGGGAAGTCCAAAACAAGGGGTCACAAGCCAAGAATAAAGGGGTAAACCATTCAGGACTGAGATGAAGAAGAATTTCTTCACTCAGTTGTGAACCTGTGGAATTCTCTCCCACAGGAAGTTGTTGGGGCAAGTTCATTAGATATATTAGAGCTGGGCATGGTTGTTGTGGCTGAAAGGATCAAGGGGTACGGGGAGAGGACAGGAATGGGATACTGAGATTGTGCAATCAGCCACGATGGTATCAAATGGTGGTGCAGGCTTGAAGGGCCGGATGGTGTACTCCTGCGCATATTTACTACGTTTCTTTACTGAGCAATTAGAGATGGGCAATAAATGCTGGCCTAGCCAAAAGCCACAGTTTGTGAGCAAATTACAAAAAAAAAATTAGAAATGAAGTGTCCCTTGGTGGTGTGATTTCTACATTGGACAGTGCTTTACACTCCAGACATGCTCCATACATCATAGCAGCAGTCAAATCGCAACTTGCGATCACATTATACTCTTCACCTTAAACCAGCAAAACCAATGGAACATGGTACTTCAGCAACAAGTATAAATACTCACCAGGATACTAACAACATGAACGACTTGCACTTAGGCAGTGGCTTAACACAGTACAACATCTGGGTCAGTCCCTGGGAACCTGTTCAAAAGACTGACACTCACTCAGTCACGTAAGTGGATACTAGAACAGGTGACCAAAATCTTGATCAATGCGAGAGGTTTTTGTAGGTATCCTCAAGGAGGAATGCAAACCGGTTCAGGGATAGACCTCTAGATTCAGGATTATGGGACTCTTCCTGGCCTACTGGGTGCTTCCAGAATTTTCTCTCTTATATTTCAAAGTCCCAGCATCTATAGAATTCTGCTTTTGTGCCAGTGCCTAGGACCAAGACAAATGAATCCATGGCTGCCACTGGTACACTGAAGGAAAATCAAACATGTGGCACAGAACAGAATTAAAGGGAGGAGATGGTGAAGGAGTGGTAATGATCACTGGGCTAGTAATCCTGAGCCCTAGATCTGGGGGTGTGGCAACTGGTGGAATTTAAAATCAATTAATAAATCTGGACTATGAAGCTATGAAGTCACAGTCACCATCATGGAGATTATTAATAATGATGGTAAAAACCCATTTAATTCACCAACATCATTTAGGAAAGGAAATCTGCCTTCCTTACGTGTGGGTTTCCTCCAGGTGCTCCAGATTCCTCCCACACTCGAAAGATGTGCAGATTAGGTGGGATTGCCATGCTAAATTGCCTAGTGTCCAGGGATGTGCAGACTAGATGGATTAGCCATGGGAAATGCAGGGTTACAGGGATAGGGTTGGTGTGGGGGTCTGGGTGGGATGCTCTTCACAGGGTTTGTGTGGACTTGATGGGCTGAATGGCCTGCTTCCACACTGTAGGGATTCTATGATTCTTACCTTTTAAGTCTACATGTGGCTTCAGACTTATGTGGCTGACTCTTAAAAGCCTTCTGAAATGGCCTTGTAAACTCAGTCCAAGGGCAATTAGGGACAGGCAATAAATTATTTGCCAGCAAAGCCCATGTTCCATAAAAGAA